GCTAGTAATGGCTGGGAGGCACATGGAAAGCCCTGAACCTAAACCCATCTCTTTTAAACCCTAGATGATGGGGACTCTTTTAGAGCTTTCAATGATACAAACAGCTATTGTAGCATGCGTGCTTTGGGTCTGCCACTACTGCCCTGGACTTTCACTACCTCAGCACATCACAGAGAGAGAGTAGGGCCCAGAAAAAGATAAATTCAGTTCTGCCTGATTCTAAGACCACTGTCCTGTCCTAAAATGATTTGCTAGGATTCTCTATGGGAGTCCATTCCACTGAGAAAAAAAAAAAACAACAAAAACACAAAAACTTCTACTCTAGGAGTTCTGGGATGGGGTCTATTGCCATGGCCCAAGGTCAGGTACAGGTATCCAGAGAGATCTCAAACACAGGCTGTTCTATCGCAAACACAGGCTGAATTCCCCATCTCAGAGTTGGCTGGGGAGAGAAGTGGTACTGTCTTCCCTCCTCTTAAAATCCACATTACAAAAGAACCAAGTTGGACCACTACCCTGGAACCATATATAAAAATTAACTCAAAATAGATCAAAGATCTAAACATAAAAGCTACCTAGGTATGATGGCACCTGTAATCCTAGTGTTCTGGAAGGCTGAAGCAGGAGAATCACAAGTTCCAGCCCAGTCTGAGCAATTTAGTGACTCAATGAGACCCTGTCTGAAAATGGAAAAATAAAAAGGGTGGGTATGTCATTCAGTGCAGAGGCCCTGGGTTAAGTCTCTAATATCAAAAAAAAAAAGCTAAAAAACTCCTAGAAGAAAATAGGTACAAGGCCAAGGGCGGTGACACACCTATAATTCCAGCAACTGGGGAGGATGAGGTGGGAGGATTGTGAGTTTAAGGTTGAGTTTAAGCAAAATAGCAGGACCCCATCTCAAAAAAAAGAAAAGACGTGAATGGAGGTATCATTTTATTTGCATATCATCTTTCTGATAAGGCTCTAGCATTCAGCAACTACAAAGAACTCTTAGAACTCAACAAAACAGAAAAACAACCTAATGTCTATAAGGACAAAAAATCTGAATACATTTCTCCATAGAAGACAAATGGTCAATATGCACATGAAAAGAGGCTCAACATCATTAGTCACTGTGAAAATGCAAACCAAAACCACAATGAGATACTGTACCACCTCATACCCATGGGATGTCTAGGATTAAAGAAAAGAAAAAGAATGAGAACAAATGTTAGCAACGTTGGAACCATATATAAAAATTAACTATTATGAGGATGTGCATAAATGAGAACCTATACTGCTGGTAGAAGAAGTATAGCAACTTGAAAAACAATTTAGCAGTTTCTTAAAAAGTCAAAACAGAGTTACTGTATGACCCATCTTCCAACAGATATAAAAATATAACTTTACATCCCCCCTTTGTCCAGTTTCACTTTCTGGGTTTCAGCTACTTATAGGCACTTGAAACGGCCTGACATTATTAAATAGAAAAGTCCAACAATAAGCGGCATACAGTTTACATTGTGTACCATTCTGAGTATACTGATAAAATCTAATGCCATCCTGCTATTGCTCCTGAGACATAAACTGGGCCTCATTCAGTGTAGCTACGCTGAATACAGGTCCGTAGTACTCACCTTCTTCTTTTTTTTTTTTTTAGTACTCGCCTTCTTATCACCATCTTGAGGTGCTTGCGTTTAAGTAATCCTTATTTTCCTTAGTAACAGTCTCAAAGTGCAGGACTGATAGTGTCAATTTGGATATGCCAAAGAGAAGTCTTAAAGTGCTTGCTTAAGTGAAAAGATGAAACTTTCCCACTTTAAAAGAAAAAAAATCAGGCTGACATTGCTGAGATACACAGTAAAAATGAATCTTCTGTGAAAGAATTCATCTTGTGAAGAAAAAGAAATTCTTGCTAATTCTGTTATTATACCTCAAACGGCAAAAGTTACCACCACAGTGTGTAAACACTTAGTTAAGACAGAGAAGGCAATGAACTTGTGTATGTATAGAAAATACATAGTACGTAGAGGGCTCGGTATTATCCTCGGTGTTAGGTACCACTGAGGGATGTGGGATGTATTCCCCCCGGGTATGAAGATGGACTACTCTACGTAAGTGTTCATAGCAGCACTACTCCTAACCCCAAAGTGAAAACAACACAAATGTCCAACAACTGATAAATGGATAAACACAAAGTGGCACAGAAGTCCCTCCTTACCCACGGAAGATGTTTCAAGACCTCCAGTAGATGCCTGAATCTGCAGATGGTACCAAACTATATATACTGTTTTTTTCCATATATACAGACTCATGATAAAGTTTAATCTATAAATTAGGCTTAGTAAGAGATTAATCACAACTAATACTAAGGTAGAACAACTGTAAAATATAGTGTAATAACAGTGAATTAAAAACTTAGCTGGGGGTGCTAGGGATTTAGCTCAGTGGCACAGTGCCTGCCTGGCAAGCACAAGGTTGTGAGTTCGATTCCCGGTAGTGGCAGGGGGGATACCAAACAACAACAACAACAACAACAAAGAACTTAGCTGGGCATTCTGGTGCATGCCTGGAAGGAGGATGGCTGCCAGTTCGAGACCAGCCTGGGCTACAAAGTGAGCTCAAGGCCAGCCTGAACTGCATAGTGAGACCCTGTCTCAAACAGACAAAATAAAAACACAAAAAACTTAAAAAGTGGGGACATAGCTCAGTACAAACACCTGTGTTCAATTCCCAGTGCTGTAAAAATAAATAAGTAAGAATTATACTTTCAAAGGGCTGCTTATCATGATTCATCCTTAAGTGGGCAAAATTTTCTTAAAATACTAACCAGTGAGTATATGTATATACTCACTGTATATGCAAGTCTTACACAGGAATGTGAATTTTTTCTCACATAAGAAAATGTAAAACAAAGCTTACAACCAGGTATGGTGGCACATATCTGTAATTTCAGCACTCAGGAGGCTGAAGCATGAGGACTGCTGCAAGTTCAAGGTCAGCCCAGGCTATATAGTGAGCCCAAAGCCAGCCTGAACTACAAAGTGAGACCCTGTCTCAAAACAAAACAAAACTTGTAAAACAAAGTGTTGTTAACCATATATGCTACCAGTATAAGCAAAATAAAATCCAAAGCACATAAACATATCCCAGCTGTAATGCCGTCATTTTTCCACATGGCCTCTTCTAGCTTGGTAACCTGAGGCTACATCACCAAATCCCAAATTTCTTGACTGCATTTTGCGCTCCAAGAAAGGTTCAGCTGTCTTAATCTGCAATAACTACTAGAAAGCTGTATTTTAAACATGGCTGAGCCTTTATAACTGTGACCTATACATCCCTTCCTATAAGGCAACACAGAAAGGGGAGGGAATTCTTCCCTATCTTCATCACATAAAAGGAAAAATAATTAAACGTAAATTATCTCAAAATCTATTGCCCAGAGAAAACTGCTCCTAGCATTTTGACGTATAACCTTCTAGAACTTCCCTAGATATATTCATATAATTTTTTCTTATAAAACAGAACCCTAATCTATGAACTGTTTCCTGATCTATTCATTTCTTTAAACTATTTCCCCACGTCAACAAATGCATAGCTATGCCAGCATTTTCACAACAGCATAATAGCCAATCGCATCACTGTACCCTTTATTTTTCTTGACCTCCTCTCAGTGGACCTTTGGACTGTCTTCAGTACCTTGCTAGAAACACTGGCCTGACTACCTCTGTTCATATATCCTTCTTGGTGAAGTGGCTTTTTCTTTCTTTTTTTATTTTTGGTACCGGGAATTAAACTCAGGATCTTGCGCTTGTCAGGCAGGCACTGTGCCATTGAGCTATATGCCCAGCCCCTCATATATCCTCTTTGCAGTTGCCCGATTCTTCCTTCGAATCAATTTTCAGAAGTAGAACTGCTAACTGCTTTTAATGTTTTGGTTTCAAACTGCCAAAACGCCTTTTTTTTTTTGCATCTCTAACCATTTTTTAAAATTTTACTTTGAGACAGAGTTTCACTAAATTGCCCATGCCGGCCTTGTGATCTCCCTCCCTCAGCCTAGTTGGGATTATAGGTGTGTGCTGCCATACCTGGCTAAATGTCCTGCTTTTTTTTTTGAGTGCTAGTTAAGTACTTAGAAAAGTTTATTTTGTGCTTAGAATATTTTTCTAAGGCATTGCATCCAAACTCTTCAACAGTAGACTACTTAAGGGGCTGGGGGTTTAGCTCAGTGGCACAGTGCCTGCCTGGCAAGTGCAAGGTCGTGAGTTCGATTCCCAGTACTGGAAAAAAACCAAAACAAACAAACGAAAAAAAAAAAAAAACAGTAGACTACTTAAGAATCTAAAGGAGAAGCCTTTAAAGAAACACCGTTGGACACTATGATAATGCACACCTAATGGATTCACACGAGGGACCCTAACAAAGGGGGAAGACATTATAGAAATCACCTATTATATAGTGCTGGATGATTCCTTCTGAGTATAAATGCCCTTGTTGAGGTCTGACAACTTGTTCTGTCACCAGCAGCCCATGGCTGTTCCTACCCCGAAGGGAGGGGAAAGCTGCTCTATGACTTACTCTCGTATCATAGGAAGGTACCTACCATCAGCCTCACTATCTGGCCGTGCAGGCCCAGAAGATACGCCCCAAGATACTGTCCCACCCTTTGATTAGTCTCAAGCTGTGAGAGAACAACTCAAAGGTAGTGTAGGCCAGGTGTCAGCTGTCTCTAACCCATCTTCACCCATCTGCATGGAAATAAGAGTTTAAAACAACCACAGGCCATTTTTTCTAAACTGTCTTGTGGTGGCGATAAACTTCTCTGTGGCTAGTAAGCCTTATTTAAGGCAAGCTGCCAATGAATGTGTCTCTGCTCACAACCTAGGGCGATGCTCCTCCATCTTCTAGTCTCGGGGTCCAAACCACCTCTCTTCAAAGCTGAGGCCTACTCCAGTCTGCTGCCTCTAGCTCTAATGGTTGTGGATGTGCAGGAAAAGGTGAAAACCCCAAAAGGAACTCACATAGAAGTGAAAATGCAAGAAGTGGGCCAGCACCCTGGGGGCCACACCAGGGAAGGCAGCCAGGAGGGTCTGGAGGTACACTTCCAGGTCCTTCTCTCTCTTTTCCACCAGGCTTCTTGAGTTTTTCCCAATTATCTTTTTGGGTGGAAGTAGATTTTTATCAATCTTTTTCTCTGCAACAAGCTGTAAGAAAACATGAGCATTATCAACCACAGATTAGGAGCTCTTCGCTTGGTCAGATCAAGGCGAGAAGCTGAAGGCAGGCACTTGTTACAACTTCCACAGCAGTAGTACCAGGATTATTAGCGACTCAACGAGGGCACCTGGGATAGGTTTCTTCAAATCCAGTTACTAGAAATACCAATGCAACACCAGATGAGGAATTTCATCTGGAGTCTTTGGAGACCATCAGAAAAGCAACACTTTTGAGTTCTAAAAAATGGCCATCCTTTCAAACCAAAAGGAAAACCAATCAAGGCAGTGAGAGCATCTTTAAAACACTTTCACTGCCAATGACCTAGAGAAAGATAGCTTTCCCTAAAAGCAAAGGAAGAAATGGAATCACAGCCAGGTATTAAAGAACAGGCTCTGAAACACCTATATTAGGTAGAACACGTTCAAACTTGTCCCCTCTCTGGGAAACTGTCTAATATGGGACTGGCAATCACAATTCAAAATTCAAATATGAAAATCAAAATTCAAATATGCTCAATTTCAAACACATTTAATTCCTAAGATCTACCAGGTTTTTTCTCCAATTATACTACTAAACTGGTTTATTACAGTAAACTATACACATGAAACTGCTTTTGCCGTAAAACTAATGTGTGGCACAATGGGAACTTGACCTCAAAGCTCCTAAACCCTGAGTCACAGGCGCCCAGACCCTAAGAGTTACCTTTTCATGTAGTTCATGGAAGTCACTGTAACGGTGCTTGACTGTCCATTCATGGCTGCCATTAGTGATCTGGATGATATAAACCTAAAAGGAGAAAATGACATTCTTTGTAGAAAGGGGAGATAGCCAGCAAGCAGAAGTCCCCTGCTCTCATCACAATAGCTGCTCTGGGTCAGATGAGACATCAGAATTTCGGCCATCTAGGCCATCCATTTGGCCATCTAATACACATGAAAGCCACGTCCCAGCTTAAGTGTTCTGGTAACAGTCCCTCTTGGGAGCCTGAACCTAAGACCCTGTGGAAAGAACCAACTTCTGGGTGAGACCAGAAGCTGCTATCTCCTCAAGCACAGTATTTAAGGAACCAAAACACATTTAGTTTAAGGGAGAATCCCAAACCTCCTGGCTCGCTCTCTCCCCTCTCTCATCATTTATGTGTGTAAAAGGAAATACTTTTGCTAATAGATGGTGGTTGCTGAACAATGGGTGTAAGTTTTAACCTGTGAGTTTCATAAGTGTGCTGCAGATACAGAGATATAGAAATTTTAGAGTGGAATTGAAGTAAAACAGCCTTGTCTTGCCGCTAAGGAAGACTACCTAGGTGATTACGTACACAGCACACGTCTTACAGACTTCTTCACCCTAGGGCCCAGGGGAGGATTTCTCCAAGCCACTGCCTGACTCTATCTCTAGAAGTGATCTCTTTTGCAGGCTGGGAAGTGCTCCAACCACTTTCTAATTTGTCTTTTGGTATTTTCCTTACTCTCTTTCAAAAATTGGAAAGGTGTCTTAATTACTGGTTTAATTTTGCTAGCAATTCTTCATTTTTTAAACATGACTGTTACAACTAGAATCAAATGTACTTTGTGCTTTTAGAAACACATGACAGAGTTAGGAGCATGAGTTTCTGGAGAAGGTAGGGCATGAGTTGGTAAGGATGGCCGGTTCAGCCTGTACTTTCTGTTCACTCTGCAGCCACCTGTTCTGGAACAGGTCACCTCAGGGGACAACTTGAGAGGATATAGAAATCAAGTAGGGATTAAAAGGTTGGAACTTTTTTTGTGGGGAGGGGGGTTATCAGGAAAGTAGAGATTAGAAGGGATGCCATTTTCCTCTTGTATTTCAGGTGGGGAATTCAAGGTCGAATTCTCTTACTCCCTTGGAATATATTCTTAAGCATTAGAAATTGTTCAACCCTCACATACTGATTTTTTTTTGTACCGGGAATCGAACTCATGACCTTGCGCTTGCGCCACTGAGCTATATACTCAGCCCCAACCCTCACATATTGAGAAAGAGCTGTTTAATATTTTTCTGTGCCTGCATGTGGCCTGCCTACCTCTTAGAGGCAAAATGGAATGCAGAGGGAAGTATTGATTATGATACTATTTCACAACTACAATTGTACTGTAAGAGAGAGGGAAAATGGCCAGAATTACCTTTTGTTCAGGCTTTCTTTGCATTAAGAGATAATCCTTACTTGTGCTCAAAATGAAATGTAAGCCACAGGAAAACTACACACCTCTGGCCCTTCAGGCACAATTGGATGCATCCACTATCACTGAGCCTGAGGCTCCCCCAACTTGCCCTTTGGATTCTGAGGACTAGGTCTGGATGCTGAGGAGGTTTTCAACTTTAAATAAAGCCCCATTTACTATTCCTGAACCTGAGGATGAGGTTTCCAAGGCAACTTTTAATCAAAACCTCATCTGCTATTACTGAGTTTGACACTTTCCCCACTCTCCCATCGGATCCTAAGGGTGAGGCTTCTAAGCCAGCTGCAGTTGAAGCCTCTACTGGGTTCTATCCATCCTTAGCTGATTTTGTTCAAACTCCTCAAGGACAGTACCCCTTACAGGAAGTAAGTGGTGGATATGGGACTACCTGTGTTCATGTGTCCTTTTCTCTCAGTGACCTCAAATAAATTAAAAAAGATCTGGAAAAGTTTTCAGATGACCCTGATAAGCACACAGGGGTCTTTAGGGGACTTATTTAGACCTATGAACTAGACTGGAAAGATGTAATGTTACTCTTAAATCAAACACTGACTTCTAATGAGAGACAAGCAGCATTATAAGGAGCTACTACATTTGGAGATGAATAGTATATTGTTAATTTTAGAAGGCCACAATACAGGCAGCTAGGGAAACAGCTGGTTTACTGGAGCCCAAGCAGTCCCCACGTAACATCCCTACTGGTCTACTAACAAGACAGGAGACTGGAATACGGGACATCTTCAGACATGTATTCTTGAAGGTGTAAGGATGAACACTAAGCCTTTCAATTGCCAACCATTCATCAGGAGAAAGATGGGAAACCCTCTGTCTTCTTAAGATTGTTTACAAGAAGCACTGATAAAAAATCCAGAGTTCTTGGCTCTGGATTTTTCCCCCGCCTCTGGTACCGGAAATCGAACTCACAACCTTGTGCTTGCCAGGCAGGTGCTGTGCCGCTGAGCTAAATCCCCACCCCTTTGCTCTGGATTTGACAGGACAGATTATTCTAAAAGACAAGTTTATTACCCTGTCAGCCTCAGATATTAGGAAAGAGCTACAAACGATCACTTTTGCTCCACATAGCTCACTTGATACTTTAGTGAGAATGGCCTCCTCAGTAGTTTATAATTAAGACCAGGAGGAAGCCAAGGGGAGAAAACAAAGAGACCAAGAGAAAATGGCTGCCTTGGTTGCGGCCTTAAAAAGGATAGATTCTGTCTGATTCTTGGGGCTCCAAGAAGAGCTCAATGACTAAACTTACCTGCTACCACTGCTGAAAGCCAGGCCACCCTAGGAGGGACGGTGATAGGAACCTTCACAACAAGAGGCCCTCTCTGAGCCATGCCCTGACTGCAAAGGTGACCACTGAAAGCCGGACTGCCCCCTGAGGTAGAGGCCTCAGAGATCAGACCCATCTTAGCGGCTGGCTGGGGCACTCTCTGCCTTCTCCCTCTGGCCAGACTGTCATCTCCACGGAGAAGCCCCAGGTATTCAGGACTACAGAGAGAAAAGAAACCAGCCTACTGCTGGACAATGGTACATGTCTGTTGGTCCTTCTTTTCAACCCTGGCTATACTTCCAGCCATCACATTTCAGTGAAAGAATCACTTGAGAGGAGGTAAGTCGCTACTTCTCACAACCCTTAGGCTGTAACTGGGACGAGGTTTTCTCTTCACTCATTTTTAACTATGCTGCAAGTTCAATTCCCCTCCCAGGGAGATATCTTATCTTCCTTGAAACTGTAATATACATGTTCATGGTCAGGAGGGCTGCCTCCCCCTCATGGAGACAGGAACTAAAGGTAGACCAGGTAGAGCAGTAAGAGCTGCCCTGGTACAAATACATCTCAAAGATCCTACTATTTTTCCTCACCAGAGATAATACCCTCCAAGGCCTGAAGTTAAAAAAGGTTTATTGCCTATAATCAAACATTTAAGGGCACAAGGTCTACTCAAACGTTGTAATAGTCCGTGTAACACTTCACTCCTGGGAGCTTAAAAACCCAATGGGGAATGGAGGTTGGTACAGGACCTAAGACTGATAAATGAGGCAGTAGTGCCAGTCTACCTGATGGTACCTAACCTGTATACTCTCCTTCCTCAGATCCCAGAAGATGCCAGTTGGTTTTCAGTGTTAGATTTAAAAGATACCTTCTTTGGTATTCTTTTACCTATGTTCCCAGTTTCTTTTTGCCTTTAAAAATCCTCGTGACCAAGCTTCTCAATGACTTCAACTGTACTTCCTCAAGGGTTCAGAGTCTTCACTTTTTTTTTTTTTTCCAGTACTGGGAACGGAACTCACAATCCTGCGCTTGCCAGGCAGGCACTGTAAACACTGAGCTAAATCCCCAGCCCCTCTTCACCTTTTTGGATAAGTGCTTTCCCATGACTTGGCATGTTTTGAATTTTCCCAAGTCATGGTCTCATACTATGTAGATGATATACTGTTGTGTGCTCCTCTAGGCAAGGCACCTGTGCTCTGCTTAATTTTCTAGTAGAAAGAAGTTACAAGTCTTAGGCCTAAGGCACAACTTTGCAGCCTTGAGGTAAGGGAACCTGACGGCTGGGAGAAGAGAGAATTAAACCAATACTTTCCTTCCTGAAGCTCAAGACCCTAAAACAGCTAAGAGGATTCCTAAGAATTACAGGTTTTTGTCATCTTTGGATAGCAGGGTATGGAGATTGCATGACCCTTCTATCAGCTTATAAAGGAAACCCAAAAAGCAGATACCAGGCCAAGGATATATTTCAGTGGGTGCAGTGCCTGCCTGGCAAGCTCAAAGCTCTTCTGATTCCCAGTACCAAAAAAAAAAAGAAGAAAAAGAAAGGCATATACCCATATTTTAACCTGGGAGCCTGATTCCCAAACTGCATTCCAGAAGTTTACACAAATGCTTCTAAATGCCCCAGTACAGAGCCTACCAACAGGACACCATTTTAATCTGTATGCTGGTGAAAGGCAGAGTATGGCTTTGGGAGTACTTACGCGGGATCGAGAACCTGCTCAACAGCCTGGGTATCTGAGTATGAATTAAGACATTGTAGGAAAGGGATGGCCTTCGTGTCTCAGAGCTGTGGCTGCAGTGGCACTCCTGGTACTGGAGGCATCCAAGCTGACTTTAGGCAAAGATCTCATTATAAATACACCTCACAATGTGGCAGGACTCCTTTCTTCCAAACGGAGCCTATAGTCATCAGACAACCAACTTCTTAAATACTAGGCTCTATTTCTAGAAGGACTAGCCATTCAAACAGACATGTCCCTCCTTAAATTCTGCCACCTTTCTACCAGAAAAGGAAATTGAGGCTGAAAGATATGACTGCAGACAAGTAACTGACAGGGAAGACTTATTAAGACACCCCCGTCTGACCCTGATTTGACTCTCTTCTGTCAAGGCCATTCCTTCATGGAAAATGGGGCAAGAAAGGCAAGATGTGCAGTGGTGACTCTACATAAGATGTTTCACAATTCCTCACTTACACCTGGGAGTAGAGCTCAGCTAGCAGAACTCATAGCTCTGACAGAGCTTTACAACTCGTGAAGGATTGAAAGTCAATATTTATACTGATTCAAAGTATGCTTTCCTAG